CCCACAATTCCGGCTACTCAAGAGGGTCATGGTTTGAGGTCAGTGTGGGCAAAATGTTAGTGAGACCCCATCTTAAGTACTAAACTGGACATGGTGGTTGACATCTGTAAATCACAGCTACCTGGGGGCCATAGGTAGGAGGACCAGGTTTGGGGCTAGACCTGAGCAAAAACTTACTCAAAAATAACTAAAGCAAAAAAGGGCTAGGGGCATGGCTCAAGTAGTAGAGCACCTGCCTAGTAAGCATAAGGACCAGAGTTCAAATCCCAGTACTGCCCCCCTAAAAGATTGAAGCATTAGCTTCAGATTCAGAGAGACCTAGATTAGAATTCTAACTCATCCATTTATCAGCTACAGTGGGACTTTAAGCAAGTAACTTAAACTTCCCAAGTGTGGATTGCCTCACTTGCAAAGTCTCCCTTGAGTGGAGGAGAGGATTAAAAGAGAGAATGAGCTGGTGGAGTGGCTCAAGTGGTAAAGCAACTGCCTGGCAAGTGTGAGGCCCTGAGTTCAAACCTCAGTACCAGGAAGAAAGAAATGAACAAGGGAACGAGAAGGACTTAGTGCAGTAACTTGTTGTACAGGAAGTGCTGGGCTGGCTGTAATTATAACTTAGCGTCTCAACATCATCAGCAGCACAGGATTGACTTTCTCTCTTTGCTTTATTCCTCTCCAGGGTCTCTCAGGCTCTCCCTTTCCTTATAATTTAGGTGGACAAAATATGGCCATTGTAGGGATATTTTGAACCTCTCATATGATTAGTGATTTATTGAAGGTCTTTTTGTGGTCCAAAATTAGCATCAAATTTGAATACTTAATTGAATGCTGATTTGTTTCTCCTGCATGATGGGCGATGTTGAGGGTGGGGTGTGAGCTACTACCTGGGGATACTGAGCCTGGGGAGCTAATGAGAGTGCGTGTTTTTAAGAAGCATGTGAGGTTATTAAATTATTGATGATGTTTTGCTGCAGTGAGTTTATAAATAATACATGTACAATTCTGATGGACAGGACAAGGAAAGAACTTCACATTTTGAGTTTAAAGAGAGCTGACAGTTGGAGAAAGGTCAGAGAATGTTTATTCGTGCAGTTTCTGTGCTAAAACCTCTCCAACGTCAAACAAGTGCACACCGCCTTACATTAGCATCTCAGACGGTCTCCCTGATCTTCAGAGCAACAACGTATTTAATATAGCAAACAAGAAAGGAAAAGCCCAAATAATTTTTATAAGAAAATCTCCATAGTAAACAGTGTTTTTTTCTTAATTTTTTTGTCTCAGAAAACTTCCGATTGAAGTTAGCTTTTTTGGATAAAAACAAAAAATAAAAAACTCAGCAATTATTTTCTGAAGCCCATCAACTTCCTAACACATTAGCTCTTCAGAATGTATTTCTTATTGTTGTTGTTTTGCTACAGTGCTGGGGACTGAACCCATGGCCTTCTGCATAGTTAGGCAAGCACTCCACCACTGAGCTACAGCCTCCACTCTTGGGTGTTTGGGACAGGGTCTCTCTAGAGCCCAGCTGGCCTCAAGCTCGTGATTCTCCTGCCTCAGCCTCCTGAGTGCTAGAATTACAGCTGTACATCATCACGCCTTGCTCGGAATGTATTCTTGCAGGAGGGACAGTGTGGTGTGCCTGGGGAAAACCATGAAGCTATGGTTGCCTTTTCCCAGGATTGGTCTTTCATGGGTCTGTGATCCTAGAAATTTTGTGAAAGTTCTGTTTAATTTGAATATGTGTAGGGGAAAGAGGCATAACGATGAACCCAAGTTCATTGCTCACAATCTGAAAAGGCCAATGACTGGAGGACAATTGCTGGGGCAAAAGCAAAAGATTTCTTTAGAAAGCCGGTAAATCAAAGATGGAGTCATCACCAACAAAGATCATCTTGCTTTGGGATTGGAGAGACCTATCAGATAAGTGACAATTCCAGGAGACATGCACTCCTGATGCACAGGCTGCTGTTACTTGTAGGTCATGAGATGGTCTGGGTTCTGTAAGTCTACAGAGAAGTTACTGATTAGAAAGTGTTAGGACTCAGGAATTTTTAGTTTCTTTTTCCAGGAATAGTTAGCTCTGTGTTAATTATTGGGATGAAAGGGTGTGTCACTCTCAACTAGCAAAAATGCTTTGTCTGTCTTATTATTGTTTATACTCTCTTCAACAAAATTAGAGATAAGGGCAGAACGGATTCTGCCTGAAAGTGTGTGTGGGGGAGGGATAGCAGGGAGAAATGGGCCAAACAATGTATGCACATATGAAAAAATGAATAATAAAAGAAAAAGGTGTGTCCATCCCCACTCCAGCACAGCCGAGGACAAGGAAAGGTGGCTTTTCCCTGGAGGATCAGGGAACATGGAGAAAAGTAGCTGCCCCTGGAGGGAGGGAAAAGACAAAGAAACTTGCAAGGAGATGGGGGAAGGCGACTTTTCACTGAGCAGTTCAGCCTGTCAGGCAGCTTCAGTCAAGGTGGTATTCACAGTAAAGCCAGTGGGAAAGCAAAACCGTATTGCTCAGCTCCTGGACTTCCAAAATTATTGACTTTTAAAACCAACCAGGAGAACCTGCAGCTGGAGGCTGATGTAGGTTTTGCTTTGGTAATGGCACATGCTCTGTGGTTTTTATCAGAAGTATGGTTTTCGAAAGGCTGCAACCTGCTGCCTCGTCTATTTTCTTTCAGAGCTTGATGGGAATAAGGGAGTGAAAAGGGGTGGGAGGTAAAGGAAAGGAGGGAGAAACTGAAGGCCTTTCATTGTTAATCAACCTCTTCCTGTGGGAGAGGACAATGTGCCCCCACCCAGTCCTACCTACCTCAGTAAACCGTGGACACTACTCTAAATTGCTGGCTGGTTCAACAATTTGGCTTAAGAGCACTAATTCCTAGAATGTGAATACGAAACAATACCCAGTAACATCAGTAAACATTTAACTCCTCTGTATTTTGAAGGGAAAAATTTGAAAGTATGCCTACTCCTCCACACCTCCCCCCAATGAATTTGCTTTTAACTTCCATCTCTGCAATTTTCAGAGAGTTCAAAGCAGGGTAATAATTTAACTACAAAATGCAAGCATTTTTCTGATGATAGGGGAATAATTGAAATGTTTTCTTGGAATGGAGGATTATTTTCTTTACAAACATTTAAAATATTTCCTTTGAGCTGAGAGTGATGGTACACTACTCGAATCCCAGCACTCAGAAGGCTAAGGCAGGAGGATCACAAGTTTCAAACCAGCCTGAGCTACATAGAGAGTTCGAGGCCAGCCTGTACTATACATGGAGATTCTATTTAAAATAAAATAAATTAAATCCTTCTTACAAGTTCAAGTCTCAAGAGATACTTAACTGTGTTACCTATTTGTAGTAATTAAGAGAAAATGACACTTCAAATTGGGTTGGGAGAAAGGCTACTGAATTTAATCACAGTTTGCAGAGGAGGATAAGGTTGAAGTGGCTTAGGTAACTTGCAGAATGCCCCCACCCCCCCAAATCCAGGTCTGACTCCAAAGTCCATCTTCTCTCCCCAATATTATTCCCCTCTGTGAGCTCCACTGAAAAAGTCCCCCCTTCGGTGGGGTGGTCGTACAACACTTGCCTACCATGTGAGAGGTCCTGGGTTCGATCCCCAGCACTACAAAAAAAGAACAGAAAAAGGTTTCTCCTCTCTGTGAGAGGCCCTGAAAGGTTCAGCTTGCTTCTGGAAGAAGGCAGTACTAAATTGAGCACATTCCAAGACTCCCTCCTCCAGAGTGGTTCTGCAAGCTGGCTGGGGATGAGCTACACAGAAGCCTGTTTGATGTGTGATGAAACAAGACAGGAAACAACTGTTTTCTGGAAACTGTAGTGTGGGTTTAGTAGAAAATATGGAAACAGACCAATTAAAACCTCAGCTTTGGGAAACAGCCAACTTGATTTGGGGTGGGAGAAAGCATTTTACCCATCATAGCAAAGTGCATCCTGACTTTTTGTCACTTTAGCAAAGGACAAAAGAGTATCTGATAAGGGTTGAATTCGAGCAACATCTTTGAAGGACCCAACCCAGGGTCTTGTCTAAGTTTGTTCTAAATAAATATTAGCTCCTCTCTTGTTCTCTCACGATCTGTGAGGCTAACAGAACTTTGAGGTCTGTGCACTGGCAACATGCTCCATGTGAAATGATGTTCTAGAATGTCTGGCATTTTGGAAGGCCCTGAGAGACCACTTTCAGTTCTGATTTCTCTTTAGCCAACACTAAAATCTGATTCAAAGGCCCAATTAATCAGAACCCCATTGGCAACATACTTAAAGAGAAAAGGAGGAAATGATAAGAAATCCAGCTGAAACATGAAAATGCCCAAGGGGCATCCCTTCCTCTTGTTCTCCAGCATCTAATCTGTAGGCCCACATGGTGAGTGTGTGTGTGTGTGTGTGTGCTGGGGGAGTGGTCACTGCACTCAAAGACAAAAGCAAGTGAGTTGTATTTTTTCTAAGCTGCACTTAAGAAGACAGGAATGGGAATTCACATTGTAGAAGGTTTTCTAACAAGGTTAAGCCACGCTCAGCCACAGAGCTCAAGGTATCCGCTCTCTGGGACCTAGCATGGGTTTTACTTGTCGGTGGAGCTCAGTGAATGTGAACTTGTCCCCTAAAGACTGTGAGTGAGTCAGTAGGTCTCACTCACTGTTGTTTTCCCTGCCCAGCATCCCTGCCTGTCTTCTCAGCCTTTCTGTGAGAAGAGACAGCTAGGGTGACAGGAAGTGTGATGGCTCAGCTGACTTTGCACTCAGTCGGCTTTACCTGCCCTTCATGCCTGCCTCCATCTCTGATGCTGGGAGCAGCCGTGTTCTGTCCTGTGGGTGTTTTCACTTCACAGAAGACACACGTGGTTTGCAGTGGGTTACTGCTGATGGGAAGATCTGATTTGTGCAGCTCTCTGACAGCTCTTTTTTTCCACAGTCAAGTCTTTTAATCATGCTGACCAGCAAGGGTCAGGGATTCCTTCACGTGGGGTTGTGTCTCTGGTTGTCTATAGTCATGCATTCCTTTAAAGGTAGGTCGTTTCTGCTTGTATTCTACAATCTTTACAGCCCCATCCCTCTTTTCTTGTGATTGAGCAGATACGAAAGATTCTAGGTAAACATGCAAAGTGTCTGCACAGGAAGTGTGGGTTACAAGTGCTAGCTAGCCTGTTTTCTTAGCTATTTTTAGCATGTCAGATGAGATTTGGGGAGTGGGGTGGGAGGCCAGGACAGTGAAACATGCTATAAATCATTTTTTATTCTATTTTTCTAATTAAAATGTGCCTTCCCAATTAGAATATAAAAAAGATGTATTTTTCTATCCTTCTCTATGGTTATACTCTGTATGTATTTTTCACAACAGTGATTTATTTGTTAATGGACACTATTCTCAGCCTGTGAACCTTCTATTTTGTAGGTTTCAGAAGCATATATTACCATGCTGAGTAAGATCATTCATTAAGTTGAGACTTAGCAGCCCCTGCTGTGCTGAACAAGATGTTTCTGCTGTTAGGCTGGGGGTAGGGGGCTTGCTTTTTCAAGGCTGAAATGTCTCAGAGAGAAAATGGGTAATGAGGAGGGTTGTTTCAATGTTTTATGAAGATATATTTTATCATTATTAATTATTATGGCAAGAATGATATTTTATGTTTAAATTTTTTCTTTCCTGCCCAAATCCTAGCATATCAGGACGTATCCAAACACATTTGTCAAGCAGCTCTTTCCTTTAACAATATATTGTTATCCTTGTATTCATTTTTGCCTGGTGGGCTTTCAAACCCTTTCATTATTTTTTTTTCAAGGTATGAATGTCTGAGAAATTCATGAAATATTTCAGGTGTGGAATTTGAATTCTATAAGGGAAGATGCAAAGATGTATTTAATGAAGTGTTAATGAAATGAATTATGTCAAATGAAGTCAAGACACTTATCTTTAATGCGTTCTTAGGAAAGTACAAAGAAAGACACATGGCACTATTGTCCAGCATTTAATTAGTGAAAAATTTTATTATTTAAGAATCAATTTTGAATTACTTTTAAAAGTAATTCAAGGTAGATTTGCTTTACCTTGCATTCTCCTAAATCTCCAAAATTCTTGCATTTCAAAGTTTGTGGAGACCTTATTGCAGTGACTGGCTGTTTCATTTGCTTGGCAAAGGTTCCCCAGCTAAACGCCTTGATTGTTTTGATGCAGAATTAAGCGAATGGGTATTTTAGACAAGGAAAGGCAGGGCTTTCCCTTAATTACTGGAAAGATTCTGGTTCCAATGGTAATACGGTAATTAAGTTTAGTGACAAAGCAAAACTTTCAGGCGTCAAGTCTATCCCTGGACAGGTGTGGTGGGTGCTCTTGGCTGTGCTCTTTGCTACCATACTGGTCCTGAGGAGCGGCGTCGTTGTGTATGTCCATTGACCATATCCACCGCCTTTGTCCACTGTCTGTGTCTACTCTTTTATGTCAGGGACTAGCGAGGCTGGAGATGTGGGCTTGAGCGCACTAGGGGCGGAGGCCTGGGCGCAGGGGACACAACCTGGTGCGCACCCCACTCCCCGTCAGCCCTGGTGAGCCTGCGAGCCCACAGCCCCCACTTCCCTGACCCTCGCCTCTGTCTGCCACGCAGGGTGCACAGGCTGCGCAGCGGAGGAGAGGCTCTTCCGCAAGCTGTTCGCTCACTATAACCAGTTCATCCGGCCTGTGCAGAACGTTTCGGACCCTGTCACGGTGCATTTCGAAGTGGCCATCACACAGCTGGCCAACGTGGTGAGTGCCACGCGTCCGTGGTGCGGTTCTCGGGATGCGCTCCTCTGCGGAGGCCAGAGCAGTTCTCCTACATTGCTACCCCGTGCACGGGGCAAGCACGGGGATTTTGAACTGCTGTACTTGCTCACGGCTGCAGTGCTGTCAGACAGCGTTTTCACAACCGCTTTATGAAGGGAAGGCGAGTTGAAAGGGAGCTGATTTTATTGTGCCCCTGTTATGCGCCACACTGTCTTCATCTTCCTGATGAGAAATGGGAGGCTCGGTGAAGTGACTTTCCCAAAGTCATACAGTTGCAAAACAAGGAAACTGAGGTTTAAGTGAGGTGGCTCAACTCCAGTGCCCATAGTCCCTTTATTCTAGAGAAGGAATTACTGTAAGTCTCCCATGTGATGTAAGAGGAAAAACATTTGGTTTCTTATATATATAGTTCTAACACTGAAAAAAAATGACGCTGGGAATTTGAAGACTTTGAAAATTGATTGAAAGTAAGATTAGAGTTTTTTCTGTTTTGGTTTTGGATAATCTTCACTCCCTTGTTGCATGGCAGGAGCTAGAGAGACGTGAGATCTAAGGTGAAGCAAGCAGGAGTCTGGGCTCCAGGGCTCAGGCAAAATCCCAGGAAGAGGAAGGCTCAGGAAGTAAGGAGCTTCTGGAACCTGCCAGAGCGGGTTAGAGAGAGCTGTTGAGAAAACAGTACACCAGAAGTGGGAGCCCTGCCATCTGCCAACCCCATGGATTGGGAAGGGACCACCTTCCAGCTTTTGTCCCAAGGGTGAAATGGGGGTGACTTCTCTAGGTAAATGAGAATGGTCTTATACAGATGGGCAGCACTCCCCAGGCCTCTCCAGTCCATTCTGCTCAGTGCACATGGCTGACAGTGACCTGATCATTTAGCTTCTGGCCCAGCCTGGACATGTGCATACACTAGTATATGATCTTTTTTTTTTTTTTTTTGATGGGACTGGGGTTTGAACTCAGACGCTTTGCAAAGCAAGCACTTTACCCCTTAAACTACACCTCCAGTCCATTTTGCTCTGTTTACTTTGGAGATGTGGGTCTCACTGAACTGTTTCCCCAGGGTAGCCTCTAACCATGATCTTCCTGATCTCAGCCTCTCAAAGTAGCTAGGATTACAAACATGAGCCACTGGCACCCGGTTGATACTGATTTTTTTTTCAAAGCCAGTTGTTTCTTCTGACCTAGATGGACACTTACCCTGTTAAAAACCATTTATTTAGCGCCTTTTCTGATCCCCTTTCCAGCCCCCAAACCTTAGTCTGGTGACTGGTTATGTACTGAGCTGGAATCCAAACTTACTATGGATTGAATTGTGAATGGAGAACTGAGTGGTGTTTCACTTAAAGTCTGAGAGAGCCGCCTCACTCTCCAGCTGTGCTTTAAACCTTGCTGCTCGATCTGTCTCCCAGGAGGGCATTCTGAAGACGATGGCAGGGACTGCTGAAAACAGATTTTCTCACACACACACACACACACACACGCACACGCACACGCACACGCACACGCACACACGGAGCAGCTGCAGTAAAACTAGTCAAGTTTCTGCTGTAACGGAAGTCCAAAGGCTCCCAGTCCAGGAAGTTGTCACCAGGTGTTAGCAGTTGAACTGCAGGGTTGGCGTTGCATGACCACAGGGATTCACTCACATGGTTGTGGTGCTAAAAGTAAGACTGATGCCATGGGGATAGAACTCCTCCTGTCTTTCTATTTTGCCATACTTTGCATGTGATTTCCTCCCTCAGGGTTGCCTCATGGTCTAAGAACACTGCTGTATTTCTTCTCATCTTATTTGTATTCTTGGCAAGATGCAGTAAGAAGAGGGAAAGGGACAAAAAGTCACCAGACATCTGTATCTTCTTTAAGGAGCTTTCTTAAGTCCCCATGACAACTTCTGCTGTCTCTTCAGTTCCTCTAGCTGGAAGTGAGGCTTAGGTAGTGCAGGCTTTTTAAATGGAAATTTTATTTATTGAAATGATTATAGGTTATATATATATAATATTTATATATAAATATAAATAGGTAAATATATATTATATTTATTGAAATGATTACAACACAGTTGTAAGACATAATAGAGCTCTTGCATGCTTTCCTAGCTCCACCACTAACCTTTCCTCTATTTCTAAAACGTGCTGTTTCAAAGGTGTTACACATGAAGGGACACATAGACCACATGGACTTCTAGAATTAGCTTTTTCACTCAGCGTCATTCCTGGGAAACTCCACCAGGCGCTACCCTTATCCACGGTGTGCTCCTCCCTGAGCTGGTGCGGCTCTATGACATTCATGTCCCACGGTTTGTTTACTTGTTGAGGAACATTGAACATTGGGCTTATTCCAATTTTTGATTTATGACAAATAAAGCTCTGTGAACATTTTTGTGTAAACAAAATCTTCCAATGTATGGAATAAATGCCCAGTAGTATAAGGGCTAGATCACATGGCAGTTGCCAGGTGAGCTCTGGGGATAGCTCTGTGATGGAGTACAGCAAGGATGCTGGAGCCTCCTACCTTCTAGAAGGCCACTCAGCCCTCTGCTGCTGTTTGGTCTCACCACTTGGCCTTATCACTCCAGAGTGCTCCATGGAAGTTTGTTTGCTGCCATGCAAAATGATGTGGGCCACAAAGTCTTCTGAGTAGATGGTCTTTTGGTGTAGGAACACGTCCACTGTCCCTTTGCAAGGGTCCAAGATAAAGCCTCTGCCCAGTGTCTTTGATAGCCTGGCATAGCTGAAATGCTAAACCGAAAAGCCCTTATAAAATGTAACTGATTTGGCCTTTCTCATCCAAGTCTCAATCTATTGCAGCTTCTCCAGAAATGAGTCCATTTGAAATCATAACTCAAAAGTTTCGGTGTACTGAGTGTCAACTAATTTATTTTCCTAAGAAAGAGGTACAGGGCGTGGTCCCACAAATATGGTGTAGGACTATGGGTCTCTGCCTTCCTTCAGTGGGACTGCCTAAGAACAGTGTGCTTGTCTATTGGTGTGGCCTGGAACTGGGTAGACTGTGACTTGCCAGACCAGGTCCTGATCCATGAAGTTGGCTGACAGCTCCGAGGGTGTTCACACCACCCCATGAGCCAGGCCCATATTACATAGAGCGTCGCCAGCCTGTGGATGTGTAGCAGGAGAGACAGGGCTAGTGCAGAATGCAGAGTCAATTTAGAGAAGGGCTCAGGCTGTGGAAGACGACAGGGACTTTTGCCAGTTACCTCTGAGAACTTCTTGGTACCCAGACTGCACAGCTAGTCTATTCCTGACTGACAGCTCCTGTATTTATGGACATGGCTAATGCCAGAATCCGAAGACTCAAGATCATTCTCTTGTGAGTAGAAGGCCTGGCCTAAGGATTGGGTATGTCAAACTGTCCACTGGCCACTATTGACAGCAGACAAGTATAGCCCATTTCTTTGTTTTCTGGGACCAACAGGAAACCATGGCTAGAGCGCCTTCTGCTGACTTTTTGCAAATCCTAGGATTTACCATGGTCCAAAATGACCCATTTGAAGGAGCAAGCTAGGCAAGGTCTCCAGGACAGGCAACGGTGAGTGTGAAATGGAGTGGATCACTGCAGAACTACTCAGGGGACCAGGGAAGACTGGTGTCTGAGCCCCACCATGGTACCATGCTGAGCTTATTTACTCTGGAAGGGGTCTGGATGTCTTGAGAAACAAGTTTTGGGACTCTGCTGGCCACTGAGACCCTGTCATCGGCCTCAAGCTGCTGTGTGTAAAGATGCAACTTTTGTACTTACCCCTGAGACAGGCAGCTGCAGCTCTTTATACTGGGGATACTGGTCTGGAATGCATTTGCTCCAGCTGGCCCTACTCTGCCCATGTCATTTAGGTGTCTGCATAGATGCTGCCTCCTCAGAGAAACCTTTTTTTGGCCATCTTGTCTAAAACAGATGTGTGTGTGAGCATATGCACATGCATGGAACACTCCATCCCTCTTTTTCTTCATAGTGTTATCGGCAGTCATTGTTCTCAGACGATCTTAGTCCTTGCATTCCAAATGGACGAATCCAAGCAGAACACATGGATGGGATGAATTAGAATAGCTTTATTGAGGGAAAGGAGTCACCTGTGCTATTAGGGAAGGGAGGAAGAAGGGCCAGGCTCTCGTGGTAGGTCGTTTTTATACCACCTTGTATTTGGAGGTGGGGAGATAGGTCATCACCTGGCTCCTCTCACCAGTGAGCTAGGGAGAAGAGCCCTTGAGCCAAGAGAGGGTGAACAGTCCCACATTATCCCTAACTTAGCCTACCTTTAATAGGATTTATCTCTATCTTACATTATATTATATTTTATATACATATACATATGAATTATTAATTTTATGTCTCCCCAACTAACAGCTGAGACAATGAAGGCAGGAATACTTTCCACCCCATTAGTGTGATATTCCCCACAATGCTTACTCAATAAATATTTGTGTCATGTATGACAAGAGTGCTCCTTTGGTGGAGGGTTCACAGTGTATGAGTAGTCGATTCCAGCTGGCAAACTCCATGGGGAGTTGAGGCTGCCATATTCAGATTAGGTCCCAGGACTCAGAGCCCAGGGAGTCCTGGGGAATAAGTGAGGAGGGACCTTAAGGTATGTGGGAACACTGGGTAGAGTTTGGAGGACTGCTGCCATCGCAGTGTTTTCCTCCCCACTTTCCCAAATCTCTCTCTTCTCCTCACTTCTTTTCATGGAATCAGAAATCTTTATGGACTGCAGAGATCAGATAGGCTTCACAGAGTTGGTGAGACTTAAATCAGCTTAGAATGATAGTTTAAAGCCACATTTCTGGCTGGGCATGGTAGCATATACCTGTAATTCCAGCACTCAGGAGGCTGAAGCAGGTGGATTGACAGTCACAAGTTTGAGGCCAGCCTGAGCTAAATAGTCTGACCCTGTCTCACACACACACAAAAAAAGCCCACAATACCCCCACACTAAAACAACAAAAATGAACAATGAAAAAACCCACACAGGAATTCAGAGGAAAACCCAGATTCATTGATTAACAATGCCAAAAAGTGTAAGTAACTAACCATTGCTCAAATGACAGTAGTGCTATTTCCCTTTTGTGGCCTTTTAGACTTTTGTTGTCCTAAAATTCCATTTTATTGGGAAACCATTTCCCACCTGATCTTTCTTGACAGAGTTTTTTTCTACTTTAAGCAGTTTCTAAATAAAATTCTGTATTTCAAGAAAAACACACTTCCTTTCCACGCCAGGCGATTGGGTCAGGTATGGAAGCCCTGCACTGCCCACTGTGTACTAAAGGCCTCTCGCCTGCTGCTTTTGGGTCTTCTTGAGTTCTTCCATCAGCATGCATAACTCAGATTTGTCTCTTCAGTTGTAGTTCTCGCTCTAAGTAAGTGTATTCAAGGCTGTGAGTCTTATTTCTTCTTTCCAGGATGAAGTAAACCAGATCATGGAAACCAATCTGTGGCTACGTCACGTAAGTGTCTCTCTCTTTGAACTGTGGTCCTCGTATGTCCACTTGACAATGTTGCACAGATACAAACCACTAGCTTTACCTCTTTCCATCTCCAATTTTTGATGGATGTAGGTTATTATCCACCTTGCCATCTCCAAAGCCTCAGGCTGTCTCTGGTAACAGCTGGCTCCATGCAAGCTGCCAATCCACAAGCTCAGAAGCCCAGTGACAAAGGTCTTTGACACAGGTTTCATGTCACTGCTTTCATGTTTCCTCTTTTCATCTATAACTCAAACTCCCCAGTCTTGTACTTGCTCACTCTGAACCCTTCTGCTCCAGGTTGGGGGAGTTCAGTAGCTGAGCTCGAGAGCATGTGTGTTAAATTCTCATCAGCTTACCCTCTCCTCCCTTTAAGTCTTAATATTTTATACAGTTTGTAAAAACAAACAACAACAACAACAACAAAACCTCATATTATATACATGAACTGTATTTTTAGTATTAGGAATGGGTTCTATTCCAGTTTGAATATACTCCATGAAACATAGTGAAACCTTAATCTTGGTCAGTTAACTAACAATCAATAGATAATTTGTCTAATTACATGTTTGTCAAAATCAGCTCAGCTATTTAGCTTTCTGATCCCCATGGATGCAATTTACCTTTGATAGAAATCAATGTACTGTTCAAATAAGAATTAATTCTTAAAAAAACAGTTGAACCAACATAAAGTTAGCTTTGGAAGAAAGTTAACATTTTAAACTGACTTTTCTTTTAGATCTGGAATGATTATAAATTGCGCTGGGACCCCAAGGAATATGATGGAATTGAGACCCTTCGTGTCCCAGCAGACAGGATCTGGAAGCCTGACATTGTTCTCTATAACAAGTATGTTGTCTGCAGCTGCCATCTCTTTCCCAAGCCTCATCTGGCACACGCTGACCCACAGCCAAGGGAGCACTCTTAACAGTCTCTGTTTTTTGTTTTGTTTTTTTGCAGTGCTGTTGGTGAATTCCAAGTGGAAGGCAAGACAAAAGCTCTTCTTAAATACAACGGCATGATAACCTGGACCCCTCCAGCTATTTTTAAGAGTTCCTGTCCAATGGATATCACCTTTTTCCCTTTCGATCACCAAAACTGTTCCCTGAAATTTGGCTCCTGGACATATGACAAAGCTGAAATTGATCTTCTGATCATTGGATCCAAAGTGGATATGAATGACTTTTGGGAAAACAGTGAATGGGAAATTGTCGATGCTTCTGGCTATAAGCATGACATCAAATACAATTGTTGTGAAGAGATATACACAGATATAACCTACTCTTTTTACATTAGGAGATTGCCGATGTTTTACACTGTTAATCTCATCATCCCCTGTCTCTTCATTTCATTTCTAACTGTGTTGGTCTTTTACCTTCCTTCAGACTGTGGTGAAAAAGTAACACTTTGCATCTCAGTTCTGCTTTCTCTGACTGTGTTTTTGCTGGTAATTACAGAGACCATCCCGTCCACATCTCTTGTGATCCCACTGGTGGGTGAGTATCTACTGTTCACCATGATCTTTGTCACACTGTCCATTGTGGTGACCGTGTTTGTGCTGAACATACACTACCGCACCCCAGCAACACACAGCATGCCCAAGTGGGTGAAGACAATTTTCCTCCAACTGTTTCCCCAAATCCTGATGATGAGGAGGCCACTGGGCAAGACAAAAGGGACAGGTTCTGATAAACACCCCAAAGGCCTTCCCAGAAGGCCTGCCAGGTCAAGTTTGCTAACCGCCAAGAGCCCAAACTCCTGAAGGAATGCTGCCGCTGTCATAAGTCAAGTGATCTAGCCACCAGCGAGAGAAGATTAAGTCAGAAGCCCTTACAATGGGTGGCAGAGAATTTGGAGCACTCGCCTGACATTGAAGCTGTGATTAATAGCGTTCAGTTCATAGCAGAAAACATGAGGAGCTGTGATGAGACAAAGGAGGTAAAGTCTCCTCTCTCCCAGCTGGTTTCCACGCCCCCAGCAGGCCTAGAGGCACTGTAAAGACTAGTCAGGTCCTCGATATGAGTTTTGTTGGTGAGAGAGGCAGGCAGCCTCACTCTAAGACCAGCTGCATTATTAGCGGTTACGGGTGGACTGACAGGAAGGGTGAGGTGTATGTCCACTCGAGTGAAACCTGGTTAAAATACACATTCCAGGCAACCTTGGTTAATGAAACCAAGATGCCCACCCCACCTCCTCCTGTCTGCCTAGGACACAGTGGCAAATAGAAAGAAAAGGGAAGTTGCCTCCAGAGGGGCAGGAGAAATGCATGAGCTGAGCTGGAGCTCAGGCCTTTCGTTGCTTCAATCCCACCTCCTTCTCAGAGGTGATTTGGGTGCTGACTGATGAGCCTTCGGGATACGTTAGCATCCATATGCCCAGAGTCTAACAACAGCAGCACAGCCCTCCCCATCCTCCAGAGAGAGCTCGAGGGAACCGCACCAGTTTGCAAAGGTATCTGGAAGCTCAGGCCAGATGTCTGGGCTTGGACTCATACTGCAGCTACCAGCACCGCACCGTGTCTCCAAGTCCGCCCTGGGAATGCCTGTCACACGAGGCATCTCCCAGGATGAGAAAGCCCAGAAAAACTCACCTTCAGGGTGGTGTCTTTTGACTTGTTTACCAACACAGATGGCTCTCAAGACACAACCCCAGAGACTAGCAGAAGGTCAGGAACTGGAATAAGGTCCAAGCAAAGGAGGGCTGCCTGTTCTTGCAACAGGAGTCCTAAATTGATCCTCCATCCCCATCCCCCACTGTTTGCCTCAAACCCACTCCCCAGGCTTGCCAAGGGCCAGGCTCTTCCAGTGAGCAAATGACAAGAGTTGAGCTGTGGGAGCAGCTGCTCCTGGGGTGTTCCCGCAGGGAGGTCCTTTGTGGCCAGCAAGTCCTGGCTTGCCAAGTTCTTTTCTGCACTCACCACGATCTGCAACATAAGGCACCAATGGAGACCCTCTTCCCAGACAGCATAGTTTTCTCCTGCGTACACAGGGGAGATACAGGTTAGCCAAAATGAGGCCATATTCTTTTTTTATTTTTATTGTTTTATTATTCATATGTGCATACAAGGCTTGGGTCATTTCTCCCCATATTCACTTCTAAATGTCCCAGAAAATCTTCTTTGAAAAAAGCTTATCATGAAACAACAAGTTCCTGGGGTTTTGATTTTGAAAGCTGGTTTTGATGGTTTTTTTGCATTTCAGACAGAAGACGACTGGAAATACGTGGCCATGGTGGTGGACAGAGTGTTTCTCTGGGTATTTATCATTGTCTGCGTGTTCGGAACTGCAGGACTATTTCTACAGCCACTGCTTCGGAATGCAGCGAAATCTTAATACAGTTTTCCTTTTCTCATGAGAAACGTGCAGACACTATATTTGTTCTGTGTTCCTTACCACAAGGAAAACCCATCTACTGAAACTGAAGATGAGCTGGGAAACAGGAATGAATCGTCAGGTTAAGAACCTGAGTACCCTCCTTTGTAGCACAGACACTACATTAAGATGCTTTGTGACACTGGACCCCGAGACGGCAGCACCCATAGGCTATGCGTGTCAGGTTAGTGTCTCCTGTCTACATGTTTGGCTTCCAGGAACACAAGTGAAACACACAGTCAAAACATGTAATTAACGTCAAGCCACACTGAAAAGAGTTTCTGTTGTATCTCCAGTTTATGCTGGTGATCACAATGACACATGAGACATGAAACTGGGACACGGGCCTTGCTGACATTTGCGGCACTTATGAAGTATGGCGTCCCTGTTTCCTTATGCGTGACTCTGTGATGTCGCTCACACTCTTCAGCATTGTGGACACAATAATTGCTTAAAGGACACACCAGACACTCAGAGTCTATCTTAATCTATATTTAATTAGTGTTGGTATTAGTAAGCTTTCTGTTACTATGATAAAATGCCTGGCAATCAACTCATAAGGAAGAAAGGCTTACTTTGGCTCAGAGTTCCAGAGGTTTCTGTCCCTGGTCACTTGGTCCATTTCCTCTGCACTGTGGAAAGGCAGCACATCATGGCAGGAGCACTAGATAGAGAAAGCTTGTTTACCTCATGAGAACCAGAGAGCCAGAGCCAGCCAGACAGACAGACAGGCTGAGAGCGAGCACACGCAAGGGGCCAGGATCCCAATATCCCCCTTCAAGAGCATGCCCTCAATAACCTAACTTCTTTCCACTAGGCCCACCACCTAAAGGTATCCCACCTCTTAATAGCACCTTAGACTGGGGACAAAGCCTTTAACACATGGGCCTTTGGGGACATTACAGACCCAAACTGTAGCAGCATTCTTCTGTCGAGGAACTTGAGCAGTACCTAGCAGTGGCTAGGCATTGCAGAGAACGAAGAGTGGTTCTTTTCTCCCATAACTTGCAGCTTTTTATATATCACCTAATATGTAACTGGCAGGGCCAGGCACTGTGGATACCATCAGAGCAATCAAATAGGGCAAGCTGGTTGTTTGCTGGCAAGCCTGAAGCAACCCCTGTGTGCTGTGCATGGTGAAAAGGCGTCCTAGGCTTTTCTCCTGAACACCTTCCATCTGCTCACTGTATCGACACTGAAAATAAAGCTGTTTCTTTTATGAGAAGGTGTAATTGTGTACCTTTAGGAACAATTTCTTTTCTAACAGGAAGAATTCTGTTTTATTCTATTCTGATTACTTTGTTTATAAATATTATTGCAACAAATTTAAAGATGTGTTTTAAAGCAAAACACAATACATCTGCTCTAACAAAGGAACTAATTTCATTTTTGCCTTATGTCTTCTAGTCCTTGTTCATAGGCATAGATAATTTTATACTTCAGCTTCACTTTTCAATGTTGTTTTCTTTTAATTATTGTTGTACTGGGGGTACATCATGACATTTACCACAGTTCTCACGATACATCATAGTTGAATTCACCCCCTCCATCATTCTCCTCTGACCCCCTGTAGTTTTCTTAAAATAATATCAGCAACATTTCTCTAAGATATTACACACTCTTGAAGTGTCCATTTCATGGCACTTTGTGTTGATAATACCATGATTTTACTACCACCGTGTAGACCCTTCTCTGCTTCGTTTCCACTGAAGCATAAGGCACTCTGCAGTATGGCAGGCATAAATTTGAAATACTCTATTTTGAGTATTTTTATTGCCTGTCTTATTTTTATATTGTGCATGCCAGTTCTCTATCAGATATAAACACAGGACTTTTCAGAGCTGTACTGTTGGAAAAAGGAGGACGCTGTTCCCAACCAGAAGTAAGGAAACTCCATTCTGACTTCTTAACGCTTGTGTATTTTTTAATGCTTGAGGACACCTCATTCTTTGCAGCCCAGCTTCTCATCAAGTCTCTTGGCAACTCTGAGAGGGCAGAGGATACTAAGCAAACTAGCAACATACATTTAAAAAGAAATAAATATTTGAAAAAAAGAGTCATGGCATTTGTTCAGAAAAACAAAGGGAAGCATGGATTAAAAATTTATAAAGGGAGCACAGTGACCCATACCTATAATCCCAGATACTTAGGAAGTGAAAGTCCGGAGGACCAAGGTCCAAGGTCTGCCAGGAAAAAACCTTAGCAAGACCCCCATCTCAACCAATAGCCAGGTATGATGGTATTTGCCTGTCATTCCTGCTACACAGGAAACATTATCAGAAGGACCACAGTCCAGGCTGACCTGAGCAAACATACAGACCCTATCCAGAAAATAACCAAAGCAAAAAGAGCTGTGGGGTGTGGCTCAAGTGTTAGAGTGCCTGCCCAGCAAGCATGAGGCGCTGAATTCAAACTTCAGTACTGTCTAAAATTATCAGGGGCATGAAAGGAGTAAAACATGAAACACTGTGGCACAGAGGCACCACACTTGCTGAGCAGGAGCTCTTACCACTTGAGCCATTCCAACAGCCTTCTTCTGTGAAGGTTTTTTTCAAGATAGGGTCTTGCAAATTATTTTTGTTCAAGGCTGGCTTCAAACTGCCATTCTTCTGATCTCTGCCTCCTGAGTAGCCAGGATTATAGGCACGAGCCACCAGCACCTGGCTAAGACCTTTTTTGTTAATTCAGAGGTGTTTAGCTTTTAGAATTGACTTTTAGTTTTAAAAGAGTTTTCTCTTGATTATGAACTCGTAATCAGCACCTGTGTGTGTGTATGTGTTCATGCACTGGGGAGTGTCTATGTACTGAACAACAGAATCAATGACTTACATGTGGAACAGAACTCATAGATTATTTAACCCAACTCTGTTTAATCTCAAGAGGTAGGCTGGCTTTCCCATAGCCACACACATGATCAATGACAAATCTAATACTAGAGCCCTAAGCTCTCGACTCAGGTCATTTCTCCAACCCTTGTACGATTCATTCTCTCTCATGAGATGAGACCAGACTTTCAGGAACCCTGCCCCACCCCGGGCTCACCAGGGGGAAAGAGCAAATTGGGCAGTTACTGGGACAAGCCTTGACAAGTCAGCCAGGTTAGGAGGTTCAGGAGCAACTGCTGTCTTATTTTAGGAAGACCAGGATGACTAGATGGCAAAAAAAAAAAAAAAAAAATCAATGTTTATTTTCATGGGGACCAGAAATAAGAATATCTCATGTAGACTACATGTGGAGTCCCCAGAAGGAGATCACAAGGTCAGTCATTGCAGTAACAAGCTGAGTTCAGTAGCAGGCATTTGGACAGGATGAGTCAGAGGCCCAGAAGAATCTAACTACCTGCCAGTTTATTCTCCCCTCGGCAGAGGCAGCAGAAAGTGGACAAAGAAGGACAACCAC